TAAGTTGCATTTATTTTGGATTGCAATCATGCAGACTTCACTTTCCGTTGTCCTAGACCAAATGTAGGATAGATAATAATTAATAGTTCATTATACTCGTAAGCTTTAACCATTGGTGATTAAAGAAAAAAATATATTAATCTAATCTTTTTGCTGGATCAAACTTGGCAATTTATGGAATCAAAATTTAAATTAAGCTGTCCTGTTGCAAGCATGCCAATTAATCAGTTTACTAGCTTAAGGAATCGTGATTGTTTTGCTCTCTTGTGCAAGGTTATGGATTTTTTTACCGAGTAACTTCGATAGTTAAATGTGATTCATTCTCGGTTTCAGTTCTTTATGATATCTGAGTTCAGCGATCAACTGCTAGATTGATGTAATGATTTTCTTTCCAGAAAGAAATATTTTCAAGTTAAATGTTTGCATGTACATCTCAATTGTCTTTTTTTTTACCCTGTTGCTTCCCCTCTGTGGTTTGATATCCAGGTAAGCAAGCGTGAACAACAATCCATCCAATCCACCGACCTCAAGTCTAGAGAATCATCTAAATCAGAAAAAGGCAATGATGAAGCTGTTGCACCAAATGCAAGGGTTCAGTATCTTAAGGATCAACTTGTCCAGGCAAAACTGTATCTTTCTCTTTCAGCCACAAGGAATAATGTTAATTTTATTAGACAACTACGCCAACGGATGAAAGAAGTCCAACGTACTTTAGGGCGTGCAAACAAAGACTCACAGCTGCCCAGGAAGTAAGTGTATTTCTCTGGAGCATGCTACTATGTGACATTTTGCAGTGCATTTTTATATTTCATCTCATTCCTTTCCACATTCTTATTTGTAATAGTTAAAGACTTGGTTCGTAGCCATAGCTTCCAATATTTGATTATTAATTAGATATCTTGATGATTGCAGTGCCCTAGAGAAGTTAAGGGCAATGGATGGAATATTGAACAGAGGAAAGCAGATTCAGGATGACTGTGCTTCGATGGTCAAAAAGGTTCGGGCTATGCTCCAGTCAACAGAGGAGCAGCTGCGAGTTCACAAAAAACAAGCATTGTTCTTGTCACAGTTAACAGCAAAAACACTTCCCAAGGGCCTTCATTGTCTTCCCTTACGCCTAACTACAGAATACTATAGCTTGAATTATTCACAGCGACCGTTTCCCAATCAAGAAAAACTAGAAGACTCCAGCCTGTATCATTATGCATTATTCTCAGATAATGTATTGGCAGCAGCAGCTGTTGTAAATTCGACTATTGCTCATGCAAAGGTACATCTATTATCCTATGCATACATATAATAGTTTTAAGCTTGAAAGAAAAAGAAGGGAATGTGAAGAAGTGTGACGTGTTTCTGAATGTATCTTTGCTACAACATCACCGCTTATTATATCTCATTGAATTTTGGTAGGATGCATCGAAACATGTTTTGCACATTGTTACCGACCAGCTCAATTATGCTGCAATGAGAATGTGGTTCCTGGTTAATTTGCCTGGTAAAGCGACTATTGAGGTTCAGAGTATTGAGGAATTCTCATGGTTAAATTCAAGTTACAGTCCAGTTCTCAAGCAGTTGGGTTCTCCATCAGCAATAAATTATTACTTCAAAGCTCATAGAGCCCATTCTGATTCAAATATGAAGTTCCGGAACCCAAAGTATTTATCTATATTGAATCATCTCCGGTTTTACTTGCCAGAGATATTCCCAAAACTAAAGAAGGTGCTGTTTTTGGATGATGACATAGTTGTGCAGAAAGATCTTACTGGCCTTTGGTCTCTTGATCTAAAGGGGAATGTAAATGGGGCTGTGGAGACTTGTAGAGAAAGTTTTCATCGTTTCGATAAGTATCTTAATTTCTCAAATGAGCTTATATCAAAGAATTTTGACCCTCGTGCTTGTGGTTGGGCATATGGAATGAATGTATTTGATTTGGAGGAATGGAAGAGGCAGAACATCACTGATGTATACCACACGTGGCAGAACCTTGTAAGTTTTCATATATCACTCATCTTATCTTGAACTTTTTTCTTACATTAAATCCAGTCCCATTGGTCTGCTTAAATTTTTATTTTTTGCCTCGAGTGTTGATATTGTTTTGCACTATCCTGGTTTGTTCATTTGGGGATAATTTAACCAAATTCCATGTAGGTTAATTCTCTAATCGTGACAGTGGCCACATTGTGTGAATCAGATTCTACTTGGGGTAGTTATATGTTTTAGTGATTATCTGACTGTGGCGATTGTTGAGGATTGTTGGGTAGGAGTTCCACATTGGCTAATTTAGGGAATGATCATGGATTTATAAGTAAGGAATATATCTCCATTGGTATGAAGCCTTTTGGAGAAGCCCAAAGCCAAGCCATGAGAGCTTAAGCTCAAAGTGAACAATATCATACCAGTATGACGACTCGTGGTTTCTTACATGGTATCAGAGTCGTGCCCTTAACTTAGCCATGTCATTGGAATCCTCAAATGTTGAACAAAGAAGTTGTGAGCCTCGAATGTGTAGTCAAAAGTGACTCAAATGTCGAACAAAAGATATACTTTGTTCGAGGGCTCTTGAGAAGGAGCTGAGCCTCGATTAAGGGGAGGCTGTTCGAAGGCTCCATAGGCCTCAGTGGAGGCTCTATAGTATACTTTGTTCGAGAGGAGGGTTGTTGGAAGGGAGTCCCTATTCCCGAGTTTATAAATAAGAAATACATCTCTATTGGTATGTAGCCTTTTGGGAAAACCAAAAGTAAAGCCACGAGAGTTTATGTTCAAAGTGGTGGACAATATCATACCATTGTGGATATTTGTGTGGATATTTGTGATTCCTAATAACGATATCTTCTATAGAGTTCCAATAAGAATTAGAAGACAAAGAAACTGAAACAAGTCGAGAGAAATATTTCGTATGACATGAAACCATTGAATCCTTACTGTCCGTGTAAAATTAGTGATTCTCTTATCTGCTCTTGATATAATGGTATTCCCCTGGCCTTTTTTCTGCAATAATCAAACTTGACTTGGATTCTGTCTAAAATTCAATTTCTATTGCATCAGAATCATGACAGACAGTTGTGGAAGCTGGGTACCTTGCCACCAGGTCTCATAACATTTTGGAAGCGCACACATCCTCTCGACCGATCCTGGCATGTTCTAGGCCTTGGATACAACCCCGACGTCAACCAGAAGGAAATCGAACGAGCTGCTGTCATACATTACAATGGAAACATGAAACCCTGGCTGGAGATAGCCATACCCAGGTACCGTAACTATTGGATGAAGTATGTCGATTTTGACCACGAGTACCTTCGACAATGCAACATTAATCCATAACAGGTACACACCAAAGCTCTCTCTTGGTAGCAACACATACAGTTTCATAGGTGGCATTCGTTTCCCCCTTCGTCTGTAAATTTGATTTTTATAGGTCGATTCTTTCGGTAGAGATGACGTATGTTTCTTCTAAAAAGTTAGATCCTGTTAAGTAATCACCATATGATCAGTTAGTAGCTTTGCATCATTTGTATTGTTGTGGGTACCTGGGATCCCAGATGTGGTTCAACTTGTAAATGATTGAGAGTGTTTTGTGTTTCCTTGAGACTTAGTGGGGCTAGGCAAGGATTCTCAAAGGGCAATGTAATATGTGCATTAAATTTTACTAGTAAGAAATCAAAGCTCCCTCAAATTTATTCAGAGCAATATGCTCATAACTTAGAGTTTAAATATATATATATATAATTTTTTAATTAAAAAAAAAAAACTTATTTTCTTTTGTGAAGGGGACTTTAAGAATGTCATCAAAATGGATAAAATGGTGTAAAAGTCATAAATTTATATCTTTTTAGTTTATAAACCTTTTTATATATTATTATATATTGACGCGTATGTGATATAAGGTGTTAGAATAATAAAAAGAAAATTAAATTACAATTTTATTTTTAATTCAACACCATTGGAGTGAAGATTTGTGGCCAATAATACCATCTTTTAATCATTAAATTATATTCATGTTTGCCGATGTATTAATTATTTAAATCAAACTCCAACTTTCTTCTAACGATAAAAACCAAAAAAATAAATAAATAACAAAGAAACAAACAAGGTCTTACGGCACGATCACTATATCTCTTTTCTTTTTCTTTATCTCTTCTCTATAGAAAGAGGGGAGTGTGGTATACCTTATCGTTTGGTCAACGAGGCGTACGTAAGCCGACCATGTATTGTTCTTTGGAGCTCGAACCCATAAATAGAATGAAATGAAATAATGGTGAGCCTAGGGTGACGAACATGGTTCAAGGGTGTCTATACAAAGCCCTTCTCTTCTTCACTCCAAGATTTGAATGAGACTTGATTGATAAAAAATACATTTTTTGGTTAGAAGTTAGACGGACTAACTAAAAGGAAATGCCACACTCCGCATGTCACGATTGTAGGTCATGTTCAATTATAAGTGACTATATTTACTCCATTTTGTAACGAAAATAATTGTGGGTTCTATGAAATTCATGCAATTAGAAACATCCGTGCAAGGATGAGGAAGCATTTCCATCTCCATCCCTCATTTTTCATCTCGGTGGAAATTCTTCATTTATTCATATAGTAATTCGAGATTTTTGCAAAAATTTGAGAAAAAAAAAATGTAATGGTAAGAAAAAAGATAAAAAAAAAAACTTATTGATTACAATTTATAATATATATATATATATATATATATATATATATATATATATATATATATGTATATAAAATGGGACTTCATTCTTTTTTTTTTTTCTCCTCATTCTTCATTCTTGCTTATTTTTGTGTGTGGAATAATTTATTTTGGTTATAAAAAATATTAAAAAATCTGTAAGTATTTTAAATTATTAGGTAAAAAAATCTAAAAGAATGAATTTTGTTTTATAAAGGTTGATTTTGATTATGATCAGATTTCATTTTTACTATTAATAGAAATTTATAATTTAAAAAGATAGTTAGAATTACACCATCAATAAAAACACAAATAAAAAAAACAGAAATTATGTTCTTTCTTGAATCATATAAATAAGTATAGATTCTGGAGAAGCAAGTTTCCGAATCCTGTTATTGGCGTCATCATCTTCATCAACATATCAAATTCCGAAACAGCCACAGACTTGAGCAGCACAAGAAGATCCATCATGGGCATGGAGGACGAAGCCCAAATTATGGTCATCTCTCCGGCGGAGCCCAAAGGCAGTCCGGTTAAGGATCAACAAGCTGCCGGAGTTGGCATCCTCCTTCAGATCATGATGCTTGTTCTCTCTTTCGTTCTCGGCCATGTCCTTCGCCGCCATAGACTCTATTTTCTTCCCGAAGCCAGTGCTTCTCTTCTCATCGGTATCTTCTTCGTTAAGTTACGACTCACTTCACAACTTGCCATTGCTTTTTTTTCTTTTTATGTTCTTCCTGTATTCGCGTTTGGTTTTCTTCGTCGTCTCTCCATTTTCTCGCTTTCCTTTGTTCACTTGTCTCTCAGGTTTAATCGTCGGCGGCCTTGCCAACATTTCGAATACTCAAACTAACATCAGGGCGTGGTTCAACTTTCACGAGGAATTTTTCTTCCTTTTCCTTTTGCCTCCGATCATATTATATCCTTCGTTGTCCTAATTTATTGCAAAGCCGATCTTCTTTTTTCTCCCGTTCTGTTTCCTTAACACTCTTGCGTACTCAATCAGGATTTAGTCTCTCACCTGTAAGTGCAAAATCTCCAATCAATGCTTCCATATTTCCCCTTAACTGTGATGTTTTGGATGAGAATAGTGTTGCTTAATGTTGCTGCTTTTGTAGAAACCTTTCTTCTCAAACTTTGGGGCAATTGTGACGTTTGCAATCCTGGGAACCTTTATAGCCTCCGTTGTTACGGGTGGTCTTGTGTAAAGCTTTTCTTCTTCCCTTTTAATTGCAAATCCTTCGTTTCATGTACCTTTTAATTTATGCCACCATAAAATGGTTGCTCTTTTCATTGCAGTTATCTCGGTGGATTAATGTTTCTCATGTATCGGCTTCCATTTGTCGAATGTCTTATGTTCGGTGCTCTTATTTCGGCAACAGATCCTGTCACTGTCCTGTCCATTTTTCAGGTGTTCACATGATCCATTTGTAAAAAAGTATATCATGAAATAGTTAAAAGGGCTGACAATAGAGACCTCTTAAATTCATAATTTAAAGTTCAGGGATGCAACTGATACCTTTCCAAATTGAAGGATTAAGACAAAACCTAGAGGTTCAGGAGCTTAATTTGTGACTTAAGCTATTGTGATTTTCTTCGGGAGATTATACAGCAAACTGCCCCTTATTCTTTAAACTAACTCGTCATGTATCTGCCTAGAGTTTCATTGATACCATATGCTGGCTGTTAAATTGTGTAGATGATATATTGTTTTACTCATTATTGTCATGTCATCATTCTAGGAACTTGGCACAGACGTGAACCTTTACGCTTTGGTGTTTGGAGAATCTGTATTGAATGATGCTGTATGTTTTTCACATTAAGTAATTATTGATATTGGTTGAAAATGACTCTATTTAATATTTCTGGTTCTCGTGTTGGATAATTGGCAGATGGCAATTTCCTTGTACAGGTATGTAAAGGAGTTGATTTGTTTCTTGTATTTCCGTTATTATTGAGTTTATTGTAATTAGTTTCATCTTTTGCAGAACAATGTCCTTGGTTAGGAGCCATGCTTATCATGGAAAAAACTTCTTCTTTGTGATTGTTAGATTTCTCGAGACTTTTGTTGGCTCAATGTCTGCAGGTTATCTTTCTCTTATCTTTTCATTAAACAAACATCTTTTGCTACTTTATTTCCACTTCCACATTTTTTATAATCCAATTCTAGAGAACTTACGAGAAGCAACACATTATTATCATTATTGTGAGATTCCATGTTGGTTGGGGAGGAGAACGAAGCATTCTTAATAAGGGTGTGGAAACCTCTCCCTAGCAGACGCGTTTTAAAAACCTTGAGAGGAAGCCCGAAAGGGAAAGCTCGACATTGGGCGATGTGCCAGCAAGGAGGCTGAGCCCCGAAGAGGGGTGAACACGAGGTGGTGTGCTAGCAAGGACACTGGGCCCCAAAGAGGGGTGGATTGTGAAATTCCACATCAGTTGGGGGGAGAATGAAGCATTCTTTGCTGCGGCCCCGAATGGGGTGTATTGTGAGATCCCACATCGGTTGGGGAGGAGAACAAAACATTCTTTATAAGGGTGTGGAAACCTCTCCCTAGCAGACGCGTTTTAAAAACCTAAGCGCGAAAGAGAAAACTCAAAGAGGACAATATCTGTTAGCGCTGGGCTTGGGCCATTACAGTTATGTATCTACGTGGATACTGAAAATAACCCTATTTGATGTTGTGAGAGTTGGTACGTAGCTGCTTTTAATAGCTTGTTGTTTGTTACTTCATTGTTGCTTGCCCCAGTCCATACTGATTCTTATTACTTTATTGGTTTATTAATTAGTTGAGTTGTTACTGTTAGTTAAGAGTTATCATGTGTTAATTTGTTATCTAATGGTTAATTGACAATTCCTAAAGGGAACTAAGCTTCTGTCGGTATAACATTTTTGATTTGGGAATTTTTTTTTCCAATAATTTGGAGGAAGGAAAAAGCATGGAAAAATAGTTTTACAGAACTTTTTTCCTATTATTGCATTTTTCAGGATCAGGATGTAATTTCTCTTTTACGACCTTAATCAAAATGCATACATTTGTCTCATACACTATGTCCGCCCCTCAGTCTTGGACATTTTGGCAGGACTTTGGCTCAAACAAATCAATTATTTATGAAACCTACTCATTTTCTCCGAGTATAAAAGTTGCTTGTGTATAAAAAAAAAGTAGTCAATGATTTGGAAACCATCCAAGACTACAATTCTGGCAGATACCTTCCTTCACTATACAGGCTCCTCATTAATCTCAACCATAAAATCCTCTAGAAAGATCAATTTTCTTGTTGTAGGTTAATGAAGACTTCTGCTATGCCAATATAACTATCAAAGCATCAGCATTATTTAGATGACTACTTTCATGTATGCCTCAAATTTCGTGCATGACCTTGTTTTGTAACTTCTTTATAACAATTAATACAGTTATCTTTACTGAATAAATAAACGGAAGTTCTTAAGGGTACTTATCATGGAATGCCTGTGGATCTGCAGGTGTTGGAGTTGGATTTACCTCAGCGTTGATATCCTTTTATGATCAATGTTATCTTTATTGCCTGTAGCAATATTATTTATTTTCATTCTACTTTTCTGATATCATGTTGAGCCTTAATTCTCAGAACCTTTTCAAGTATGCAGGCTTGGACATTGACAAGTAAATTCTATACACTTTAAGTGTTTGTTGAGTACTAAATTATAATGTATTTTTGTTTGGACGAGAATCTGAATTTGGTCGTTTCTTTATCCAGTCTTCAAAATTTGGAGTGCTGTATTTTTGTTCTTTTTCCATATTTCTCGTAAGCAATCGTCTTTTCCCGTTAAGTTTTATAATTTTTATTTAGCTACATTTTACGTTGGTGGATTTTAGCATGAGATCTTTTACTAGGTACATGCTTGCAGAAGGTTTTGGGTTGTCTGGTATTGTGTCGATATTGTTCACAGGAATGGTGAGTTAAGCTGACCGTAATCTTTACTATGTTCTTTCGTTCAATACATCTATACTAGTTGTTGGTGTGCATATAATCCTTGATGTTCTTTGTTAGGTGATGAAGCATTATACATATTCGAACTTATCAGAGTCTTCACAACAGTTTGTTGCGGAATTTTTTCACTTATTTTCATCTCTGGCAGAGACATTTATGTAAGGGAGACAGGACCAAATTTTATCTAGCCTTAATCAAGGATCCTTTACCCACTCGATGCTCATAAGCTTTTGTCTTTCAGCTTTATATATATGGGCTTGGATATTGCAATGGAGCAACATAGCTGGTCACATATTGGATTCATTTTTTTCTCGATCGTATCCATACCTTTACGATCAGTCTACTTTTCCCGTTTTTTCTTTCTTGATCTCAAATTTTTGTGGTTCCTTAATCAGTTTTATGTTCACCTCAGTTATTTATTGGTGTTGCAAGGTATTGTTGCCAAATTTTCTCTCCTATTTGCCAACCTTAGATCATTAAATTCTCACACAAGTTTGCATCTTTGGAGATACCATCGCTTTCTTTTATTAAAGCTTTTGAATGGAGTTTCTCATGTAATCTTTACATTGTGTTCTTATTATATACAAACCAATTGGCTAGCTTTTTACAGTTGGTTTAGTTCTCAGTTGATTTACCCTCCATTACTTTGATGCCCCTTTTCTATATCAATATACTGTTTCATATCCATAAAGAAAAACTTCACTTTTGACACGTTTTTTTTCTTTCCACTTTCATAGGCTCCTATCTGTGTGTGTGACTATAGTATTTTGTGTGATATTTCCTAGGGCTGCAAATGTCTTTTCTTGTGCATATTTAGTCAACTTAGTTCGGCCTGCACATCGGCAAGTACCTCCAAAACATCAGAAGGCACTTTGGTACTGTGGTAAGGAGCATTATTTCTTCTTTATTTATTTATTTAATAGAATTTGGAGAGAGGAGTCTATTGTTCTCGAATATGGTTCTAATGTGTTATAAATGCAGGACTTCGTGGGGCTATGGCTTTTGCTCTGGCTCTACAGTCAATCCATGATCTTCCAGACGGACATGGGCAGACAATTTTCACTGCTACTACTGCAATCGTTATTTTGACGGTAGGCAGTCTAAGTTTTGTCACTTGTATCATATTCTGATGAACAATTTCGTGTAATTTTTGTCAAAAAAGCGTATTTTTCTTTCCTTAATGGTTACAACTATTAAAAATTGAATTTAGATATCATATAAGCTATTGTGCTACTGTGTTCCCCACGCTTCTGTTGTAATGATGCCTCAAAAAGTTGCCAATTTACTGCATAATGCAGGACTGAAAGTAGAAGTTTGAAACAGATTAAGTTCCTCAATGCGTTTTTGAAAGAGGCAATCTTTGACCAGATAATGCAAGTCAAGGGACCCCATCCAATGGATACAAAAAGAATGGAGTGGATGGCAAAAGTTCGAATGACAAAAAGTTTAATGTAGTATGGTGGAAGAGGGTGTAACAACCCAAGCCCACCGCTAGCAGATATTGTCCGCTTTGACTCGTTATGTATCACTATTAGCTCACGGTTTTAAAACGCGTCTGCTAGGAAGAGGTTTTCACACCCTTATAAGGAATTCTTCATTCCCCCCTCCAACCGATGTGAGATCTCACAAAGGGGAATGCGGAAGGGAAGATGGAGAGACAAGCTAGTGAATGGGTATAAAAGTTTTATCTATTCTGTTTAAGAGAAAGAGGACATGAATGAATCATGTTTCGGAATAGATAAAACCAGAAGGGTAGCTTAAATATTCTTTTCTGAAAAAAAAAAAAAAATCCAATTAGAAGCATAAATCTTTATCCCATAAATATTCCATCAGTACTATTTTTTGTCTCCTTCCTGACTGGACTTATGAAAATTCATTTTCTTCCATTTTTCTCATCAGTTTCTTTGAAATATTTTCAGGTGTTACTTATTGGAGGGTCAACTGGTACAATGCTAGAAGTTTTACAAGTTGTAGGTGGCAATGATAACCATGAATACGCTTTGACTGAAGTAAGTTTTATCTGCATTTTGACTCTTTTCTTTCTTTCTTTGTTTATCAATGCTCTTGGATACACAGTTGTTTTAATTGCATGCATGATCTTTATGAATGTTCTTAGTTACACGTTTTGCCAAATGTGCAATGCATGAACACTCTAAGATACACAATTATTTTAGACAAGGTAACCATGAATTTGCTGTGCCAGTCATATGCACGAGTAAAGTGAACATAGAATAGCATTGGAGGAAGAAGGTTTGCACCCAATAAAAATGCTCCACCCAGGATTATGGAGTTGGGTCGACCACCTCCCAAGAGGGTCTCATAGTGAAAAAGGTAGACTTCCTTGTTTATGAAATGGTTTTGGAGATTTCCTCGGGATGAAGGGGGCCTTTTGAAGGACAGTTTTGCTAGTGTTTACGGATTGGGATTTGCATGGTTGGTCTACTCAGCCTGTAAATTTAGGGAAAGGGAATTTGAGAGAAAATAGAGAGCATACAAAACAATTATTGTTTGATTCACTGGGCTGGGCTAAACCTTCGACACCAGCACTGGATACTACTTGCCTAACCCCTCGCTCAGAGGGACCGTAGATCGGAAACTGATCGACCTGAACAACATATATGAATCCCCTCAACCCCTTTTTTCATTACTAATGGATAGGGGCTTATGCACTCCACTCGCTGTTGTATAAATGAGCGTTAGAGCGAGCGAGGGAAGCCCTCTAACGCTCGAATTGTCCTCGCTTCTCTGGCCAATTCTTAGAAATTCCGATTCTTTCGGGTTAAGAGCTCCTCAAAAAGACCCCGGAAAACCTAAAAGAGGCCGAAACCTCTATAGAACTAATCCGAGGAAGACCTCGCAAAATCCAAGTTTGAGGTCTAAGTTTTACCGACACAATGAATTGTTGAAGTAAAAAAAGATTAAATTTGTTGTAACACATTGATTTAAGCTTTTAGGTTTGACAGTGATTTAACTTGGTATTAGAGCGAGACTCTTACGTTTGAACCCTTGTAATGTCATTTCTTCCTCAATTATTATTATTATTTTTCTTTTGGTACGAGACAATTTCATTGATAATTGAAAGTTACAAAAGAGATGTAATATCCAACGAAAAAGTTGTTTAAGGGATTCTTCTAACACTCATTATTAAATTATTTGATATTTTTGGGTGTTTAAGCTGGAAGGTTCATGCATTAATTTCTGTATACTTTTCGAATTAACCATGATAACCGGGCAGTATTAGAGACCTTTTAATCTTTTGTTCCCTCTTTCTGTCAGAGTACTGATGTAAGCCATGGCTACATTACTCATAATGAGGAAGGATCATCAAGGAATAAGACCAAAAGGAAACTTAAAGAGTTTCATGAGAGGTGACATCTAATGTCCGTCTTTCATTTTCGGACTTGTCTGTTTATGGGGATACATCGCTAAAATGCCTCTTTTTTCCTCAGCTCTACGATATTTACTTCATTGAATAGGAACTACCTGACGCCATTCTTTAAGAGTCGCAGTGGTGATGATGAAGAAAACGGCAACAGTAAGAATGACTTTGTTTATCTCTCGTAGTTCTAGTTTATTTTTTTTTTTAAATTTCCTATATATGTTTTATTTTTGGAAAAATATTACCATTTTCTTAATTGAAAAGTGAATTATTTGAAGAATGGAATTTTAAAAATGAAATATTGGATTCAATAGTAAAGACCGGGTAGAGATATATAGGTGGTAGGTGGTTAAATCTGTTGGGATATGGTTGATAATTTGTAGGTCGTTAAATCTGTTAAAGCTATATTTAGTAAACTGAAACCAGACCCCATTAGACAGAGCTTTTAAAATGTTCTATTTCATTCTCTGTATTCTATCTTGGTGTACATACTTGAAGTCATCAATATTTCTCCTTGCATTTTCTCTCTCCTATTTCTTTGTGTTCATCTTGATCAAGTGTGTGCATGGTGAGTCTCCCTCTTAAGTTATATTCCACTTTCCAAAAGAGCCTTGTAGACAAATTACAAAATAAGTTCCAACCTTCCAAGAGGGCCATTCTCTTGTAAAGACTCGTCCATACAAGCATAAAAGCATAGCAACACAGAAGAAGGGACCCGATCTATAGGTTTTGTAGCAACAACCCTGCCGGTGAGGTTGATAAGTTTTGTTGCATTAGCAAGTCACACATTGTGTCTCTTTTTCCTTTACATTATTTTCATGTCGACCAATATGAATCTCTAGTGAAATGCTTGTATATTCGAAGGAACCCCAAATTCTTTCCCAATACTTAGTTGTCGTATGCATGGAGGATGATTTTAAGTAACTCTGAATGTTTCGAGCTGACTTACCTGTTCTTGTATAAGAGTGTCGTGCTGTAGAGTATACATATGCACTATCTGAGTTATCCTGAAGTTTTTGTAAGATTTTGATCAACTTTTGGTCACAGAAAACTTACCCCTTTACAATTTCTACGTTCAGAATGTGAGGAACCACAAAAACTCGTAGTTGGCTTTGAAAGAGACTCGAGATAGGATGTAAATAACTTCATTTTCAAGGTTCGGTTTGATGGTGTTCTGCTCCAGTAAGCCTTTCGATGACTGTTGATCCATTTGAATATAAATGTTTGCCCAACAGATAGGGTCGCTACTTTTAAATTGATAGCCCAATCGCCATTAACTTTTGTATGCGTAGCCTGTATTCGATAGTTTTTTTTGGCTAAAGTAAGCAATTGGGCGATCATTTTGGGAGAGAACCGCCCCAATCCTTTTCCGATGCATTTGTCTTTATTATAAATGGAAGATTCAATAGCTCCTTTGTTTCTAATAAAAGCGCCATTCTTGAGAAGATCTAATTAAAGAGCTAACATTGCCCTTTAATTGGCCACAAATCCTAGTACTAAGTTGTGAGACCAAGGAATCCCTTTAACTCCTTTAGGTTGGTGGGAATAGGCCATCGTAACATCACATTAATCTTTTTTGGGTCTGCTTCTATCCCTTCAGAGAAGACAGTGGCCCAAGTACTTTATTCTCTTCTAAGCACATTAACATTTCTTAAGGTTGGCATATAGGTGGTTGTCCTTCAACTGCTAAGGTGGTTGTCCTTCAACTGCTAAGGTGGTTGTCTTTCAACTGCTAAAAAAACGAATCATCTAAGTGATGTAGGAATGAAGACCAAGACTACCAAAATGTCATAAAAAAATACTAGCATAAATCTTAGGAGGAATGGCTTGAACATACGATCCCTGGAGCATTGCGGGGGCGTTCGTGAGGCTGAAAGGGCACCACCAAAAATTCATAATGGCCATTGTGGGTCTAGGAAACAGTTCTGAGTGTCACAATCATATTATGAAGAGAGTAGGTTGTGATTCTCACGGGCAAACAAGCAAAGTGGCGACACAACGCCCAGTTGACTATGCGATGGCTTAGAGAAGATGAATGTCATGATGTGACCGAGGAGGACGGTGCATCATTTAACACACCACAGAGATGTGCATGAAAGCTAAGCCGAGACATAGGCAAGAGAGAGGCAACAATGTCGACATGATATCAGAGCTTGTTGAAGGGCTGGGTAGGGCCCCAAGCCTTAACCTCGAAAGTTGAGGTTCTGAAGGGAATTTGGGCATGCGGTTCTGGAGTCAAGTCCTTTTATATGAAATATGTAAACTCGCCAAATCTGGTGTTAATTGAACACCGAACGAACGCTCCACGACACCGTATGTTTGTTCACCAAAATCATGTGTACAGTTGCCAAACCAAAAATGTCTCAAAATATATCTTAGGGGGAGGCATGGTGTCAGTTGTCCCCCACCCTTGGGCCTTGTGGTCTAAGCGAGCTACCTTGTGACACATGCGTGTGTGATAGTGAGGGGTGAGTGTCACGAGACAAGTGTCTCAAGAGACTTCCTTTGAAATAGGTTTTTCAAGAACAGTGTTAAATGACACAAGTATGCCAACATGGTTCCCCTTCCCATGTGTCGAAGGTTGGATTATGCACCTGCTATTCGGAACGGATTTTGTAAGTGAACTAGTATGGACACGGGAGGGTCCAATGCTTTGATATAACCCAGATGGATGAATGTTCAGTATGTCTTGATATTATGAACGACACATGGGCCCGTTTCTGATGGGCAAGACCGAGTGAGCTATGATGGTTGATGACATCCTAGTACTCGAGATGACATCATGACATGAAGTCCATGTCAATTGGGATCTAAGATGAGGATTAAGATGCAGCGTTGCATTGAGATACCTTGTCCCTGAGTAAAGCCAAGGTCAAGCTGAATGTCTTGGCCTAATGTAGAGGCAAGTCGATTAAGTCGCAAATGATTGAATATGCACGTACGGGCAGTGCGTATGGCCCAACAAGCTTGGATTCCGCACAAATTGTGTGTTGGCGAAGACGAACTTCGCCTAAGGTTCGACAAAGCCAGGCGAAAAAATGAATATGGGGCTTGGGAGAGTGATCGTTCGTTCCATTATGCTCGTGGGTGTTCTAGTGAGAGCTTGAAGTTCAATCAAATAATCCACGAGTCCTGCCAATCCGCTCTTACATATTCAATGGTTTTGGTTAGAACCAACTCTTACATATTCCTTTTCCTTCCACTCTCCTTGCCCTTTGTGTTTGTACTTTCTCTCTCTCTCACAAATAAATATGGAATTCTGTCTCATATCCCAAAAAAAAAAAAACAAAAAAAAAACAAAAAAAGAAGGAAAAAAGAAGAGTTCTAGCAAGCTCCTCCTTCCTGCAATTACTATTACTTGGGTTATAGTCAAGCATGAAATATATAACGACCCAAGTTCACCACTAGCAGATATTGTCTTCTTTGGACTTTCCCTTTTGGGCTTACCCTCAAGGTTTTTAAAACGCGTTTGTCAAGGAGAAGTTTCCACACCTTTACAAAGGGTGTTTCGTTCTCCTCCCCAACCGATGTGGGGATCTCACAATTCACCCCCCTTCAGTGCCCAACGTCCTCGCTAGCACTTGTTCCTTTCTCCAATCGATGTGGGACCCCACCAAATCCACCCCCTTCGAGACCTAGCGTCCTTGTTGGCACACCGCCTCGTGTCTATCTCCTTCGGGGAACAGCCTCCTTGCCAGCGCCTTACCTGGTGTCTGGCTCTGATACCATTTATAACAGCTCAAGCCTACCGCTAGCCGATATTGTCCTCTTTGGGCTTTTCCCTTTCAGGCTACCCTCAAGGTTTTTAGAACACGTCTCTTAGGGAGAGGTTTCCACACCCTTATAAAGGGTGTTTCATTTTCCTTCCCAACCGACGTGGGATCTCACACAATCTCTATGACTAACTTTTTCGAAGGCATGTTGTTACAATCCTTTACTTTTACAGAGTTGCAAGTTTTAACATGGCGTTGCGTGGTATATTAGGTTTGAATTAAATTGGCGGTAGAACCAGTTGAACATATTTCTCCTTTTGATGATCTATTCTGATGATGTATTTCATTTATAATATATGAAACTGTACTTCACCCAAAAGCCTTAAAAACTGTTGTTGAAAGTTAGGTTGGTTCATTGTGGCTCACTTTATCATTATTTAGCTTCGAACTGATTTGATTCTGATAATTTTGCTTCAATAGGCAGGCCAATCCGTGGTTCTTGAAAGCTTGTTCTGGCATGACTAACACTCGGTTGTAGTATTGCGATATATCATACAAGCTGGAGAACTCTGTGTATAATGTATTCATCCGATCCGCTCTGTATTAGGTGGAGACGAACCAGTCGAGCACGCAGTTTGGAAGTTTCGACTTCGACTTCGACTGAATGATTACGATAGAAATTAATTCTTTACATGGTGTCTGTTTTGGACTGAATAAATGAAGTGAAAAAGTTGAGTTTGATGTTCCGTTATAGACTGTCAATGAAGTGGAAACTATAGTTTAATATGTCTACCTTCTATTTTTGATCCTTTATACAAGTACCCTTGGCAGAGGCCATCTATCTGCCTAGATTTGGTAGATTTTGCTGTTTCTTTCTTTTCTTTTCTAGATAGAGACGTAAAAATTCATTAAAAACAAAGGTTTGGACTTATACGTTCATGGTAAAAGAAAATATTAATATAAGTTCAAATGCAACAACGAACGTGTGGAGCAACCTACAAACACTACTAAAAGAAAAGGATGAATACTACTATTCTAACTTAGCTTCAATGGCCATCACAACATTGCTTCGTCCATGTAGGGGCGCCTTACTTTTGCATTATAAAAAATAGCATGAGGCTGATTAAGAAATAATCAATAAGTAACTCTAGGGGCCAGGAAATGCATACACAAACCATCAATAAGTAACTCTATTCTTTTTAAAACGTAATGGCATGGTCTTGAACTCTTTCCAATCTTACAGGGTTGGATGTGTGGTAGTACTTCTCCACACATCCAACCCTGTAAGATTGGAAAGAGTTCAAGACCATGCCACTTCTCCACACATGGCCCATTGACGCGTATATGGACCCAACAAGCAGACTTATATCCGTACCCTTAGACTAAGCTCGTTGGGCTAATGCGCTTATGCACTGCCAAACCTCATAGAGGGAGAGGACATGCATGATATCTTAGCAAACATAAATAATGAAGGTATGCATCTGCACTAAACATAACGAGAAAGTCTCTAGATGCACATGACATACATAAAATGCATGAGGTCCTCTTAGCTTACAAATTGTGCTTCCTTTCATTCATGACATAATGAACACACGAATGAATTGTGTATACATAATACTCATCATGTCTTTCATCATATCATCGAAAGCATAGTATAATTCCATAACATGGAATAGCATAGTATACATAGTATAACAATCATACACATGTCGGGGTCACGAGACACGTGTCATACATCACCAATTCGTTCAACCAATCCAACAGCAGCACGTGTAGACAAGATTTTGGTGAACGGTCATATACCCTCATACTGACCCATATGAAATGGTAAAGACCTATCTAGGATGAAAGCATGTAAGAGAGGTTTGGAATGGACATGCAACCATGAACAACACGTCTTGGACAAGCAAGATCGAGATATCTGTCATGTGGCCATTGACAACACACCTTGGACATGCATGACCGTGACACTCAGCTTGCCCTTCCGTTCAAATCTCAGAATGCCTTTCATTGGAGTCACAAAACTGTAAAGACCTGTCTTTCCCTACCTCAAAAAGTAGACCATTACGTAGACACGGAGATAAAATATTGGTAAATTTTTTCATGTTTAAAACAAAACATACTTCAAGACAAATATTATATTAAAAATAAAACAAGTTAAATATTTACATGCACACACATGCAATTTCAATTACAATGATCATTTATCATGATAAATGGTTTTTCTTTTTTTTTCTTTTTTCCAAAAGACATACAAATAGACATGAGACTCAGGTCGACGGTCCCTTCTGCAACCCTATGATTCGATGCATCTCTCACCATGGTCAGTGATCTATCGATCACTTGAAAAAGAAGGTGTAATAAGAGTGAGAATTAAAATATTCAGTACCCAACCTACTTGTAGGATATCGTCAAACTCAATCCTATACACAAAATTTGAAGTATTTTATCCCTTTTGGTGTTCATATCTTGAGGGCTTTAGATACTATTAACTCTATATTTTATGTTTATCCAAGTCTGTCATCAGCCTTGCATGCGTCTCGGGTTCAGTGTGGCCCATGGAAAGGCCTCAAAGTACTTTCTTTAAGTATGGAGGAGTCCTTTGCTCTTGGAGTAATATTCATTCTACACGCCTAATTACCTACTAAGTTATATTTGGGAGATTATCCAGGAGTATCAAGTAACATTTGCCTATCACTTCGCCTTTTCCGACTGAATCAATAATCCACATGTTCTTACACCCTCCTCGCGTTAGAACAGTAATAATAACATGTTTGTTGTCTTTTCAAGCTAGAACAGTGGACTACCTGTTTAGAAACAATAACTGCCTATTCGTTGCTTTTCAAGCTAGAATAGTAGACTACCTGTTCATACATCCTCTTCGGATTATTAATGCTATTACTACCCACTAGACATAACTGAGGCTACCTCGATAATGTACATCCTATGATTCATAGAGTTACTTGTGGGTGACAACTATTTCTTGTGTACCAAGTAGACCCTAATCTTTGTTGATTAGTTTACGAATAGGGTTAGAGTGGAGGGCACACGAGTGTTATATGGCGAGTATGTGGGCACACAGGTAAATTCCTAATCCTATGGCACAACCATGTCCTTTTTTTTTTACCATTATTATGTTTTGAAATTCTTTCTATTGTGTGCATTTACACTAAGATCTTTTCAAATAGCATATTTAAAATATTCACATACTGTTTTCAAATAGATCTTTTCAAAGGATTAATCCATATGACTTCAACCGAGTTCAAAGGTCTATGACAACCATTATCCACTTATCCTTTTTTTTTTGCTGATTCGACTTTGAATAGGTTTGAGGGATACGAAAATGCTAGTCAATCCAACAACTCTTATGGATGTGCAAACCTCTAGCTCACAAATGCTAAAACGCCAAAATCAAGAAGACCTTTAAATTTAAATATTGAAGAATTTCGGGATGATAAAAGATCAACCTCATTGACTTGTTGGCCCTTAATCTCAAATTACTTCATTAATTTGTGTTTTGATGATAACAAACATGTTCTTAACTGCTAATAACTTCAAAATTTTGAAGTGTCCATAGTGTAAAGTTGGGAATTACGACTAGGGGTGTACATTCAACCCGACAACCTAGACCAACCCAACCCGAACTATAAGGGTTGGGTTGGGTTGGATTAGCATTTTGGGTAGGGTTGGGTTCATTCTTTTGAACCCGAACTGAATTGGTACGGTTTCGAGTTCGTGGATAAAACCTTCGAGTTGACTCGAGCCAAATAAAAATATAGAAAGTATGTTACGAATCTTTTCGTATTAACAGGTTTGCTAAAGTGGTACCTCAGCCTCTCTAAGGACATCCACTATCAAGGTCATAATTAATATGTTACAATTTGTGGATAAATAAAACTTTTAAAAATCTTTTTTTGACCCCTCGACAACCCAACCCGAAAATAGAGGGTTAGGTCGGGTTGGGTTGTGAAATTTTTTGGATTGGATTGGGTTACCAATCCAACCAACCCAAACTTTTAGATTGGGTCAAAAAAATCCTTTAACCCAACCTAAACCACATACACCCCTAATAACCATTCTAACACTTTTTGAATCACCTAAATCATAATTAAAATAGATGAGTTATAGCCGAAACAAAATGGAGTAGAAAGTACTGACATTATGACATGATAGTTAATTGGCATTATGGACCAATCAAACTATGACACGTGTACTTACTTATTTTTTAAATAAAACAATATTATAATAAAAGGAATAAATTTAAAACTTATGACCTTTAATTATTATTTTAAAAATAAATGGAAAAAAATTTAAATTTGTTCATCATTACTACTATTATTACCATTATTACTATTATTATCAAAAAAAAGAAAAGAAACTCAAATTTATGATATGGTCATTGATATCATTATTATATTATTATTTTAAATTAAAATAAAATAAAATAAGAAAAAAAAGGAAGCTTTTTAAATTTGTTCATAATTTTTCTATTTAAACATATATATATATATATTCTTCTCCATACTCAATACACAATTTTTTCTACCCTTTTATGATACTCTCTCCAAACTTCCAATTATTTTTCTCTTTCATCGTAATTTTTAGATAGATTTCTATTGTATTACGAGAATATCGTCGTGAGTATTCAAATTGTAAATATCACACTCCGAATTTTGAGGCGCCAAAATATCGAATGTGACTCGTAGATTATGTAATGCATGACAAAGGTAAGAAAAGACAGAAGAAAAATCACCATAAATTTCATTCGAATTGAAACTTCAGAATATAAGCTAGTACAGTGGAATACATGGTGTAAAAAGAAAAGAAGTATACGTGTATGGTGTACTTTTAAAATGGGGTATGGGGTAGGGATACACGGTGTAAAAAGAAATGTGAACTGTGAACTCATGGACTCTACAGATGCCACAAGCTGACATTCCTCTGTAACTACTAAGTTCCTAGGCACCCCATCACTTCGACCAACATCCTCATGGATTTGAAAAGGAAAAGTAGAACGGAGTGAGTTATAAAAATATACCTAGTAAACAAGCTACTTGTAGTCTCTCATCGCATCCTTGATCTACAGATGACCAAGGTTAATCCTAGGCTTTAGGCTTGTCGACCTTGTGCACAGACTTTGTGTCACGTTAGGTTTCGCAACGATGCCAAGTGCTTGGAGTTGAGGTGCTACCTCAAGAACACTCTCACAAATCAGGTGGGGACAACATGGTGAGTCCTAACCTCAAGTACAGTCTCGGGGAAACATCACCCAATCGAAGAAGCCAGGTTAGAAGAAAAGGCACCCAATGGGCCTTCATTGTTAGGGCAATTCTATGGAAGATTTGCATCTTTGTTTGGTGTTCCTTTGAGGAGAAGGGACGAAGGGAATATCTCACCTATATTTGGGTTTTGTATTTAAGTTTCCCATGTTAGCTTGTTCTTCACATATTAAGTGTTGACATGTCACCTAATTACACAAGTTTGCTTCCTATTGGAGGACACAACAATTAAGTAATAATTATGGAGCATTTAACTTCTTCTTCTTATTTTTTTATTTATTGTTCTTCATAGACAAAAACAAAACAAAACACATGGTATAATTTAATATTTAAGAAGTAGGGGTGCACGGGTTGGATTGGGGTTACGAAAATCTTTTGGACGAGTGATCTAAACAATCCAAATAGATGTCATAGTTCAACGCAACCCTTCTATTTTTGGGTTAGATTGAGTGGTTTTTGTTTAATTATTTAAAAAAATCATGTTTATGGGGGCGCCCGTTACAAATA